AGAGAGACAGAGAGAGAGAGTGAGTGCCGTTCTGTGAATCGATTTGATCGGTGCCACCAGTGCTGTTTACCACCCCAGGATGCAGCAGTGTGCTCAGGCATGTCATGGATGCTTGCTTTCAATTTATGGATCGATGTGTGGGGACAGACGCATTACAGATTGGACTGCAATTTAAAGGCTCGAAGGCACAATGGTGCCTGCTGAAGCCGAAGCAAAGCCTGAGGTTGCAGTGGCTAAGCGTCGATCAGGAGTCTCCAAGAAGTCCGGACCCTCGGGACCCTCGGGGCTCTCGAGTCGCTCCAGGCAGCAGGGTCGTTCAAACTGGCCAGTGCGTCTCCTTGTGCGTAAGAGTCCTAGGAAGACACAGGCGAAGGCTAAATCCAGGGATGCTTGTACGTGCAATGCATGGTGGGCCCTGACTGTGTGCGTGCCGCCGCCGGGGACTGCTGAGCATGAGGCCAGAGCTCTATATGCATCGAGTGGAAGTCTGCTCAGCAAGGGTGTTTGCAAGTCTGTCGCTCAGATGTGCATGGAGCTCGGGCCAAACGAAGTTTTGGACAACGGCCCGGATCCCGGTATTCAATCATTTGCTCGATATGGCCAGTGGATTTTCTTGCCAGGCTGGTCCTTATGGTCGTTGAGGACCATCCATGGATACCGGGGTGAGGATGACGACGGTGAACTCGTCTCGCTTATACCTGCGATATGCGATTTCTTGATTGCTGGGTGCATCATTGTGCAAGCATGCATTCATATTCTCGATCTGCCGCAGCATAGCAGCGCTGGAGTATGCCTCTGGTGCGTAGGGCCACAGTTTTGGCGAAGCACTTGTGGGAGTCATTTCTTAGAGAAGATCGTGGCAGGAGGTGTGCTGCGACCGGTGACTTGATTCCTCACGGTACTCTTAAGTCGGTGGCTCTCAAGAGAAAGTTGGCTTGGGCTGACGAGCTGCCGTGACTGAGCAAGTAGCTTTGTTGGCTGTGGAAAGATTGGAAACACACTACCACCTCCAGTATCCAATCATTCCTGGAGTGAGTGTAAAACGCTGGAGAGCCCAGCAGGCAGCCCGGATCACGAAGCTAGTGTATCGGTACAGGAAGAACAGTGCAGCTAGACTTTCGCGCCCTTTGAAGAAAGCCATGACAGTCGACGAAGAAGAGACGCAGCCTTGGTCGCTGCAGGCCAGGTCTAAACAATCGATCGAGCCTTACAATTTGGCTCTTCCATTTCATCAGACTCCGCCCAGGCGGCATGGAATGATGATCTCTCCGTGGTGCCTGCGAGCTCTGAGTCCGTGAGGCGGGGATCGATATCCGGGATTTGCCAGCCGTTCCTGCCGTTTTCTGGGCAGGACGGCTGAAAGCTCGGCGGGCACGGACCTGGAGGAGGTCATGATCCAGAGATTGTGAGGGTTTGATTATTCTGTCCTTTCTGTGCAGGACAGCGACTGGATGATGCCTCTTCAACAGATGGAGGTGTACTCCTTTCCTTTCTGGGCTTTGAAACACATGGGCTTCTGCATGACTGTTGTGTGATCAGGCCATCCGGGATGCTCCTACCCCAGCGTGGTCCGACAGGAGGCTTCTTGTTGCAGTTATTTCTGTCCAACTAGACCTACCATTATTATAAGAGCAAGCATGTCACTTTGTCTTTTGATTGTCCATGCAGGCCAGAAGCTGTCGATTATCCGAAGGCAGCGCTATCGTGGTACGTCAGTAAATTTAGCCACAAAATGCATCCGTGCGTGCAGGTCCCTCTTGTGGTGGAAACTGCGCGGGAGCTTGATATCTACAATCACTCCGTGCAGTGGACTTGGAGTGATCCTGGGGATCCAGGAAATGAGTGGAGGCCTCGGGATGCCGTGGGCCACGTGGAGGAAGATGAAGACGAGGATGAGAAGATGGAGGAAGCTGAGGAGGAAGGTGAAGAAGAGGATCCCTGTGTGGACCCAGTGTCCCCTCGGGTTGCAGAGAAGGCGCTCGCGATCCTTGCTGAGGGCAAGGTGGGCTGCAATCTTTGACACATAAGATAGATAGGGTTAGAGTGCGAGAGAGAGTGAGAGAGAGGGAGAGAGAGCTCTATTTAAGTCCTTCGTCGGAGGCCGACTGGAGAAAGCCTGAGGATGATGGTGCTGAGGTTGGCCAGTACATTGTGAAGTCGTATCCATGAAAGTTTAAGTGAAGATTCCAATTATCGTAACATCGAGCAGTGCAGGTGCAAGGCCAATGGGGCAACCATTCCGAGGCCGGGGAACTTCACGAAAGCTCAAGCTGTTTCTATGTTGCTTTGTGACAGGATGATTGGATGCAGGGCAATCATGGTGAGGCTGGGATCATTGTCTATGAGGTTTCACTGTGTTTTTGTAGGCTACAACCTTTTCTGCCAGGAATGGAAAAAGGAAGCAGGTGCTGACCTGCAGAATGAGGCTCCTCATCGATCAGTTTTGTCTGCGACTTCATTCCAGTATGTAGCCCTGGTATTAGGCCTCGCATCAGCACTACGAGGAGTACGATTCGGAATGTGACATGATGCCGATGGTAGATCAAAAGGCCATTTCATCTGTACTGAGTGTCGGTATTAAATAGCCTAGACGGAACTACATCACTGCATGCACTATGCAGGTGGATGGCTTGTGGTATGGATGGGAAGGTGCAGCAAAGCATCCATCGTGGGTGCCTCACCTTCCTCGGATCCCCGAGGATTTTACTGCATGTATCTGTGTGTATATCAATAGACACACATGTAGGTATATATATATATCTCTCTCTCTCTCTCTCTCTCTCCTTCTCTCTCTTTATGAGATATGTTGATACATATGGGGGATGATTTGTGATGAAGGCTCATTATAAAAGAAAAAGTACCTGTGATCTAGTTTGAACAGGACCCTGGATCTTGCGAGCATCCAGGCCATGGAAATGAGGAGGCACGTGTGTCTGTGTGGGCGCGCCTGTGTGGGTCCGTCTCTGTGCGGCTGAGCTACGCAGTTGATATATCGGTTTGGATAGGACTTTGGATCATGGAATGACAACCAAGTCGCTGAGACTTCTCAGCATGGAGATCACAAGGCCAGCTTGCCGATTGCTTGATAGTTTCACCCTAATATAGACCCCCCACAGGACGATGGATGGTGGAACGGCGGCCAAGTCGCTGAGAACTTGCACCATGGAGATCAGGAGGCCAGCTTACGAATGGTTTCTAGGTCCTTCCCTATGTACTACCCTGCAACTATGGATGGTGGCAGAACAGCCAAGTCGCTAAGACTTCTCATGGGGATCAGACCAAGGCCAGCTTGCAAATTATTTCTAGGTTCCACCCTAGACTCACCGGCACAGGACGATGGATGGTGGAACGGCAGCCAGGTCCCTGAGAACTCAGGCCATGGAGATCATGAGGCCAGCTTACGAATATGCATGGGTCCCTCCCTTTGTACAAGCCGGTTATATCCCTCCCTTAAGCCTGTGCAGGACTATGGATGGTGGAATCACTCGCAGCATGGAGATCAGAAGGACAGCTTATGAATGGTGTGTGTGTGTGTTTCCCGCCGTCCAGCTCCCTTCATCTACACAGAACTTTGGATCATGGAAGGACTACCACGTCACCCAGAAGCCTCAGCATGGAGATCAGAAGGACAGCTTATGAATGGTTTGTGTGTCCCACAGTCCAGCTCCCTTGATCTGTGCAGGACCTTGGGTCATGGAAGGACTACCAAGTCACCCAGAAGCCTGAGCATGGAGATCAGAAGGACAGCTTATGAATGGTTTGTGTGTCCCACAGTCCAGCTCCCTTGATCTGCACAGGACCTTGGATCATGGAAGGACAACCAAGTCACCCAGAAGCCTCACAATGGAGATCAGGAGGCATGTCTCTGCATGTGTACAGACCGGTTCCAGCATGTATCTTAACTCGAGCAGGACCATGGATCATGGAAGGACAACGCACAGAATCTTCAGCGCAGAGATCAAGAGGCATGTGACATGTGTGTGCTGCGCTCAAGCAATGGCTTGTAGTTCAAGTGTTTGTAGGTCTGTTGCAACATCTCTGTTGATTCTTCATATGATACAATCTCTATCGTAGCGCCAATCCCGAATATGATCCCTGGGAGAGGCTGCCGGCCAAAAGCTGTGGGAAGCCTGGAACATTCCGCAGGCACGGCGGATTCACAGCACAAGGGGCACAATTTAAGGCAGCAGTCATGCTGATCTGAGGAGGATGGCATGCAAGCCGATGGATCGGCGGAGGAGTGAAGATCGTGTGCATTCATATGTGCATAACCTGCACCTTTCCGTTCTATGTATGTTCCGAATTTTCGTTGGGTTCAGGACCACTCTGAGGATGAGAGATTGTCGAGAGCAACAACGATGGTGCTTCCTGGACCCTACCCTGAGGATTCTTTGCAGAAGCAGGCAAGATCTGGGGCCTGCTAGCTAGGTCTTTTCAAGAATCACTCCCTGCTGCCAGGACAGCTGGGAGTCCTCCTGGATGTACCCAGAGTACTCTGTCCACTTGAGAGATCTGTACTGGGATGCAACACCCAGCGATCCCGAGGCAGCATTCATACTCTTGAATCGTCCGATGAGTATCTAGTCATGATTCCAGCCCCTGCTATAGGATGTCCAGAAGCCTGCCCAAGTAGCTGCAGCTGAAGCTCATGTCCCACCGGAGGCAGCTTGGCTTTCCTGGGTATTCATGGCTCTAATCGCATGACTCATCCTTGCTGGAGACACAAGCTGAACAGCAGTCTAGGGTTTAGAGTTTGGGGTTGAGGGNNGGGTTTGGGGTTTAGGGTTTGGTGGGCGCTTTGCTTCAGGGCTTGGGGGCTCAAGGGTTTCATACTTAGGATGACGCTGCCGAGATCCCCTACGAGATCATGGCAGGCCCTGCCCCGTTGGAGGATTTTGAAATGGAGGTGGGATGAGCTGGGTTAGGCTTCTGAAACAAATCAGTGCTTCTTGTGATAGTGTGAAGGAGAAGCCTGCTGAAGATGATCACAAGCAGGAGGCATCATCCATTGCATCACTCTTTGCTGCTAGTACTTTTTTCCTGATGAAGGACAAGCTTCTGGAAGATGGTCATGAACAGGATGCTGAAGATGATCAGAAACAGGAGGCATCATCCACTGTATCACTCTTTACTGCTACTACTTTTTTCCCTGATGAAGGACGAGCTCGGTGGAGATGATCACGAACAACACGCTGAAGATGATCACGAGCAGGAGGCATCGAGATCATACAGTCTATTGTCTGTCACGCACTACTGCTCCTACTTGCTGCTGCTGCTGCTGCTGC